CACCAGTAGGACTAAGACTATGATTTTGTTTAGTTTCATTTTGTATCTGTTTTGTTGAGGCAGGATGTCCTCTTGCTCAGGCTACTCTCCAACTCCTCAGCTCAAGGTGCCCTCTTCCTTTGGTCTCCCAAGTAGCTGGGACTCCAGACCCACAACCATGCCTAGCTCAACAGCATGGATTTTTTTTTTTTGGTCTTCTTCTTTGTTTGAGGGTCTCACTATGTGGTTCAGGCTGCCCTTGAGCTCACTTTGTAGCCCAGGCTGGTCTCGAACTTGCAACGATCCTCCTGTTTCAGCTTCCTGAAGGCTGAGATTATAGGCATGAACCGCCACACCTGGCTAACAATATGGATTCCGATGCTAGAAGGAACTCAGAACAACACCTGGTCTACAGTAAGTGTAATACACATCAGCTGGTGTTTCTGATGCTTAAAAAGCATAGACTATGGTGAATAAGTACTCAAAAGAAGCCCAAATGAAAAGTAGTTGAAAAGCTGGGTGAGATGATGCACATCTACAATTCCAGCTACTTAGCCTGTCAAGACCAGAGGATCAAGAATTTGAGGCCAGCTTGGGAAACTTAACAAGATCCCATTTCAAAATTAAACTTCAGAAAGCCCCAAGGATAGCTCGGTAGTACAGGGCTGGTCCAACATTAGCAAGGGCCTAGTTTCAATCCCCACTACTACTACTACTACTACTACTACTACTACTACTGCTAGTACCACACACACACACACACACACACACACACACACACACACAGAAGTGGCAAAAGATACACATTCATGCTCACAGCAGTATTGTTTCCAATCTTTCTCTCTCTCTTTTTTATCGGTACTGCATATGGAACTCACAATCTGCTTGCAAGGCAGGTGCTTATGCCACTGAGCTAAATCCCCAGCCCCTGTTTGCAATCTCTTGACAGACAGAAACAACAAAATGTCCATCCAAAGACTAATGGATAAACAAAATGTGGACTTGTGCTTGGCCTGAAGGCCAGTCAAATAATCTCTTGACTCAGCATGGGTCAAGATCTGGATTGGAGCCTCAGCACCACAAAGACAAAAAATGAATGTGGCAATGAGTACATCAGAGTACAATTCAGTCATAAAAAGAAAGGAAATTCTGAAGCCAGCTACAACAGCCATGAATCTTGAGGAAATTATGTCAGGTGAAAAACACCAGTCACAGAAAATTACACACATGGCTTAGAGAGCTCAAGCTCATGGAACATAGAACAGAGCGGTGCTTGCCATGGCCCGAGAGAAGAACTGCACTACACGTCTCAACAGAGAAAGAATGATGAGGAAGATTATATTAGGGAGCAAGTCAAAGATGAAAAACCTTAATGAAACTTAGCTGGGCAGCTACGGAATCAACTAGTTTCCTATCACTCCACTGCTCACAAAACAAAATTCAAAGTGTGATTGGCTCACCAGGTTTGAACAAACCCAAGAGCTTCTGCTGACTTGCCACACATCCTCTCCTACCCCCAGTATCTGGTGGCTTTATGTGAGTCCCACCCAGAAACTGCACGAGAATGAGACTCATAGCGTACATGATCTTAGCCAAAAGACCAAGAAGCAAGTATCATACTGTTAAGTCAAGCAATGTAGGCATAGAAACCATAATTTGAACCGTCCTATAAGAGCTTCCCTGACCTACCAGGCTGGGAAGAAATAGGTAGCCAGAAGTACTAAGAAAGCATTCTAGGTGGCCTGGCATTGAGGCACAACAAGCCTTGAATCCCAGCTACTCACAAGACTGTGATTGGGCAAGTCCCAGGCCAGCCTGGGCACATTGGCCAGACCCTGCAAGATAAAGGGCTCATGAGGGAGTGGTGCGTGGTAGGGCGCCCCTTGCTTGATTCCACCTTTCTTTTGAGGTGTCTCTCCCCCTCAAAAAAAGACGACCTGGGGTTGAATGGTGGCTTCAGGTCAACTAAGGTCTGGACTGGTGGCACTTCGAGGAGCATCTGAAAGGAGTGGCAATTGCTACCCTGCCCAGCACACATCGTGGCCATCCTCAGGACTCAAGGGGCTCTGATTTGCAACCTTTCAGTAATTTTCAACCAGGAAGAACCTGCAAGGCTAAGAACTAAGAACATTCACCCAAGGGGGTAGGGAGGGAGGGAGCCACTTCCCCAGAGCCATCACCCTGACCAGGCCAGGAAGCACTGGAGACACCTTGCAAACCGCCTCCCAAGGGCCAGAGAGCAAACCAGAACTAGACCCCACCGGGGCACATTTGTGAGGCACTGACCTGCTGGCTCCAAGACGCCTTCTCCACTCTGCACCTCAACAGGAAAGAGTCCAACCCAGGTCTCTCAAGACTCAGGGAACCCAGGGCAGCTCCCGGCTGGGTGGTTCCTTGCTTACTTTGCCAGCTGCTTCTCAGGTGAGGCCTGCTGTGAAGCACCTAGGGTCCCAGAGGCCTCCATGCTGCATCCTGGCGGCAGGAAGGCGTGCATGGGTGCAGGGAATGCACATTAACAGCCCTCCTTGTGGCTTTGGGGAGAGGTGAGAATTGACCCACAATCCCCCGCGAGAGCACGAAGGCAGGAAGGCAGGGAGGGTAGAGGGATGGCTGGAGAGAACAGTCCAGAGAGTGGAACCTGAGTGCACTTTGCAGTGCAGATTTGTAATGCCACCACGGGGGCCCCAGCAGGAGGGCGAATTGTGGGCCAACCCTGTCTAAATAATGAGTTTGATCCCAGTCCGGGCTACATAGTGTGTTTGAAACCAGCTTCCATAAAGTAGTGTGCTCGAGGCGCTCTAGGCAACAGGCCCTTCTTCATCTCGATGTCTCACACAGGGCTAGAATGTGTCCGGATCATGCTTAGGTGAGCTGTTTTCTATTACTGCGCGCACACACACACACACACACACACACACCACACATTGTAAATACATGATAGAAACCATCGGTTTATGCGGCTGCAAACAAAACCACTATGACAAGGATCGCCACAAATCAGGCATCACTCCTCCAGGATGCTGTGTCTCAATTCGCTGCACCCTTAGGCTGCACACACAGGTGGCAGCATGAACGCGGCTCCCAAGGCGATTGCTGCCTTCGCCCCAGGCCGCTTCCTCAGGACAGCCCGCCCCTCTGCCGTCCACACCGCGCTCCTGCCTGCTGGTCGGGTACGGCTCTTCCGAGGGGACCCACAGCCCGACTCCCACCAGAGGGCAACCTGCGCCCCTTGCCTGGCCCTGGTTCCCGGCCTCACCTTCAGCAGCCTGGCTTCCAGGGCCGCGTACAGCATCTGCAGAGGCTGCAGCAGCTTGGGAAAGCCCCAGGACAAGGTGACCCTGAGCCCAGTGGCTGACACCGCGTATATCCCAAAGGACCGCTCCCTGCGGACTGGCCGGAAGTGCCAGACTAACAGTGGCAAGCACTGTCCTTCCCAGAGGCGGCAGGGGGCGGGACTGCACAGCTACACCCTCCCCTTCCAGCTGTGCTATGAGCAGTTAACACAAGGTCTCCAGTGAGATGGGGCCGCGCGCCTGCAGAGAGGGGCGGGGCCAAACCTGGGCACCCCGGGGTCCGGGGCGGAGCGCCCAATGAACGAGGCCGGGGGCGGGGTCCCGTGGCCGCAGAGCAACGCCCACCGGATAGCCGCGCTAAGGGCACAAGGCACTGGTGCCTTTGCCTCTGGACCTGGGCGCCAGGCCTCGCGTGCGCTGCTCTGTGGCTGCGGGCCTGGCTGGCACCTTCCTCAGGTTGGGCGGGGCCACGCGTCAAAGTGCAGGATATAGACCCCTGGCCGCGGCGGGTCACCTCAGAGCCCGTGAACGCAGGGGGCAAGCGGGCTGCGGGGCTTCAGCGCACCGTGGCTGGCCGCTTGGCAGGTGGCGAGCATCCTAGGTGACAGAGCCTCCCCACGTTATTCACTGTGTGGACTAAAAGGGGCTGGGGATTTAGCTCAGTGGCATAAGCGCCTGCTTTTGCAAGCAGACAGTCGTGAGTTCGATCCCCGGTTTTTGAGTCATAATCAGGAAACACCAGTTGAGTACATTGAAAAAAATCACCCAACGCTTTTTTGATATAGGCGTTTGTTTCTGCCATCAGTTGCTGATCCTTTTTTTTTTTCTTCGTCTTTTTTCCTTTTGATCAGTACCGAGGATAGAATTCATGACCGTCTGCTTGCAAGGCAGGTGCTTATGCCGCTGAGCTAAATCCCTAGTATCCTGAACTTTGACCCGTGCCCCGCCCAACCCGGCAAAGGTGCCAGCCAGGCCCGCAGCCACAGAGCAGCACGCTCGAGGCCAGGCGCCCAGGTCCAGCGGTAAAGGGGCCAGAGCCTCGTGCCCTTAGCGCGGCTACATGGCAGGCATTGCTATGAGGCAACGGGACCCCGCTCCCGGCCTCGCTCATTGGGCGCTCCCCCGAACCCCCACGGTGCCCAGGTTTGGCCCCGCCCCTCCCTGCTGGCGCGCGGCCCCATCCATGTGTTAACGGCTCATAGCGCAGCTGGAAGGGGAGGGTGTAGCTGTGCAGTCCCGCCCCCTGCCGCTTCTGGGAAGGACAGTGCTTGCCACTGTTAGTCTGGCCCTTCCGGCCAGTCCGCAGGGAGCGGTCCTTTGCGATGGACGCGGTGTCAGCCACTGGGCTCGGGGTTACCGTGTCCCGGGGCTTTGCCAAGCTGCTGCGGCCCCTGAAGCTGCTGTACTCGGCCCTCGAAACCCGGCTGCTGAGGGTGAGGCCGGGAACCAGGGCCGGGCGAGGGGCGCGGGTCGCCCTTCGGTGGTAGCCAGGCTGTGGGTCCCCTCGGAAGAGCCGTACCCGACCAGCAGGCAGGAGCGCGGTGTGGACGGCAGAGGGGCGGACTGTCCTGAGGAAGCGGCGTGGGACGAAGGCAGCGATCGCCTTGGGAGCTGAGTTCATGCTGCCACCTGTGTGTGCAGCCTAAGGGTGCAGCGAATTGAGACACAGCATCCTGGAGGAGTGATGCCTGATTTGTGGCGATCCTTGTCATAGTGGTTTTGTTTACAGCCGCATAAACCGATGGTTTCTATCATGTATTTACAAAGTGTTGGGTGTGTGTGTTTGCGCGCGCGCGCGTCTGTGCAGTAATAGAAAACAGCTCACCTAAGCATGATCCGGACACATTGTGGCCATGTGTGAGACACTGCGATGAAGAAGGGCCTGTTGCCAACCTGGAAATAGGCTCAACTCACTCCCTATGTTTAGAGACTCCACATACCTGAAAAGAACGCGAGCCTGCCTGTATCCCCTTTCCTGCAGTTTCATCAAGGCACATGGAAGTTGGTTTAGACTTGAGAAGAGATTGAGAGTATCTGTGAAGATCCTTTGTGATTGCTCTGCCAGTTCTGTTAACGTTTCCATTATTTGTGCCCGCCCTTTTCAGCTGGTTGCTACCTTGCCTGAGCATGTTCAGCCCGGGCCTGACTTTTATGGGCTCCCCTGGAAGCCTGTGTTGTTCACTGCCTGTTTGGGAATCGTTTCGTTGGCCATTTTCTTCTGGAGGACGGTCCTTGCTGTGAGTGAATTAACTTGTTCTTTGACTTCTGAATACATCGAGCATTCTATTATCATTGGCCATTTCAGTTATTAACATAAACAAATCAGTAGTTATAATTCAAGCCAGTTTTCTGAAATAATTTAATGTAACTTTGGTATTGGCAAGGACTTAAGAGCAAGCTAAGCATATCCACTTGTTAGTAGAGTTGGGGACTCGTACAGCCATCCTGAAAAGCCTTTAATAATTCTATATATCACAAGCCTTTAAAATGGGATACAAAACAGGATAAGAAATATACATTGTTTTCATATGGTATGATAATATCAGTACACGATCTTAAAGAAATAAATTACATGTTAAGATTTTATACAAAGGTGTTAGATGAAATAGTATTTAATAGAGTAATAACTGGGCGAAACCTAAATGATCTGTATTAGGGAATATCATGTTTCATCTTATTTATATCCACAGAACAGAATAATTAGGCTGCTGTGTGTATTTCAAAGGCAGGGGGCAAAGAAGTTGTTTACAATTTAATGTGAAGTGGGAAAAGTGGAAACGGACCGTGAGGTGTTGATAAACTGTGCTGTAGAAACACACAGGGCAAGAAACACAGTATGATGGTAGAAACGTCGAGGCAAGATCAGGCATAGTGGTGTGTGTGTTCCTGCAGCCCTGGTGGAGAGGGAGGCTGAGGCAGGAGAAGTGCAAGTTTGAGCCCAGCCTGGGCAACTTGGTCACTTACCAAGAGCCTGTCTCAAGAATTAATGGGAAGGCTGAGAATGTAGTTCATTGTGAAGGCCCTGTCCCCGGTGCCAAAAAACAACTCCAAAACAGCACCTTATTAAAGATTCCTGTGAGGACTTCTCGAATCTCACTGAACAGCTTCTTGCATGAAAGAACACCTGGAAGGGTAAGCAGAAGTGTGTGTGGGTGAAAACGTGCTGTTTCCCCTGCTCCTCTCCATTGCTCCCCTGCAGCTGCTCCCCAGCAGGGCTCTCAGGCTCAGCCCTGCAGCTTCACACCCTGCACCTGGGCTCACTTCCTCCCGCTCCCTGAGGTTGAGTGGCTCTGAGGCACTACTCCTCATCCTGGAGAGGACAGTCGTCCCCCTCAACCCCATGGCCACTGCGCTCTGCTGTCCTACACTTTTCTTTATAGCACTCGGAAGAAGACAGAGTCTGTATTACAGAGAAGTGCAGTAATCGCTGCTGTGGTCTTTAGTTAGTTACAGTTTAGGATTTATGACCCCAGAAGTCACTGAGAGGAAGAACTGGGTCTGTGCTCTTCCTAGAAGCCGTTAGCTGTCATTTCTCTGTGTTCTTCTGGTGTCTTCCCTTTTGCTTAGATTTATTATTGATTTTGGGGTCTGGGGAAATCAGATGATGAGGTGTATTAGATTATTTCTTAATTGCATCAATAGATCACTTGAAATAGGGTTTCTGAGGTATCTTCCAGTGAGTGAGAGGTGTATCTTAGTGCAAAGATTATGCTGGTAATCTTGCTCGCCAGTCTTCCATATGGTCACCATTTCGAGACTGCATGCTTGCTGTTCGGGATTGTCAAGTAATTCTGAGTAAATAATAATGCGTGTATTATAAAAACAAGCATTTCACTGTTGAAGACAAAGGCTCATCTCGTAAGCTTGGTGTTCACTTGGTACGGCACATAAACCTGTGTGTAGCTATGAAGTAAGACACACTCCTTACTGTTCTTCTGTATCAGAGGCTATTTATAATACATTTTTAATTGTATGGATTTATCCTGAACTAAACAGTTGCTAAATTTTCATTTGGTTATGATCCTGACTTGTCTTAGGAACTATGTATTTCTTTTAATCAAATTTTTGACATCAAATTTAATTCTCTCTTTCTCTTCTAGGTCAGGAAGAGAACATACCAAGGTAAATCTCTTCCTGTTGGTGTTTGGGAGGACTTTTAGGCAGGCTAGGAGAGACAGTGACTTTGGTGTCTGATATGACTTACTAACTGCTCCACATTTTACTGTTGCTACTTACCATGGTATAGCAGGGAGGATGATGGTATTGGCTGAGATAGGAGATGTGGGGGTAGGGGGGTGACTGCTTACATGGAGCAGATGGAGCGTGGCTGGACCACACAGGTGTGGAGAGAGGACAGTGTGTCTGTGCTAGGGACACCTCGGCCCCTATAGGTTTATCAGCACAGGAGCTCGAAAGACAGCAGTGTGGATCAGTAGCCTGAAGTTGCTGTTTCTCTTTGCAAATGACATTCATTTCAAGTGATTCCATTGTCAGAGAACAAGTGTCTTTGTGAAGTGAGCCTCTCCAACTATGTAACATTTTACTATATCTCCTGCCTTTGCGGTAAATTGCTATCTCATCAAAACAAATGTTACTATTGTTTTCTTAAAGTTTAACAGTGTCCTGTGCACTGTTGCTGTTAGCTGCGGGTCTCTCTGGAAAGGCAGATAGCTGTGCGAAGCTCTGTCTCTCATGGAGCCTCACACGAGTCCTTGCTGCTGAGACACTGTGCAACTCAGTTCCATTTAGTGCTCCTAACACTGGCTTTTTCCTCTATTTATAGTCACTGAACAGCAGATTGCTGAGAAGCTGAAGAATACCATAAAGGACAATGCAGAACTTGTCCAAAAAGTATCAAGTTATAAACAGAAGGTAGAACCTGTTTCACAGCCCCTCCTCTAGGGTGTCTGTGGTGTAGCTCAGTTATTATGGTATTTTGAAGACCTATGTTCTCACTTCATCATTTCCCCCTGAGCCCTCCAGATCTTACGCACCATCCTGTATAAAGTGAACATTCTGCTCGCTTCCTTGGAACAAGGTTTCTTTTGGTAGCACAGTGACTTCTGTTACTTAGTTCTGCATGTGTTTTTTACATAGATCGAGGAATTAAAGAAGCTTATTCTGGAGACAAAGGAAAAAAATTCTCCTCAAACAATTAAATACAAGGTAAAAGTCCTTCTCTTTTTGGGATTATAGTCTAAAAACAGAAGCAGGGATTAATGTGTATTGTTACTTTTAATATCTTTTCGAATAGGCTGAAATCAAGGTGCTTGAAGAAAGAAATAAATTTCTGACGGGTATTGCCAAAACTGTTGGTGTTATATTCAAATCTGAGAGGAAACCTAACATGCAAAATCAGGATTTGGTGAGTTCTGCTGCTGCATGTTACTACAGTTGTATTTTTAGCTATTTCATAAATTAGCTGAATTGTTCCCATGCTGTTAACTCCTTAAGATTAGGAATAACAGAACAGAACATGCCTGTACCCATTTTGAGGGTGTTTTAGTACTAACCCAGTAGGACCTTTTTATAGGCATGGGAAGTGTTTTGATCCTGAAATTTGGATAATTTCATAGCTGAGTCCTCCAGAACAGACAGAGTCACTAAGAAACTGGTCCAGTTGAGTAGTCTGTGTAAACTGGTTTTATTTCACAGTAGACTCTGTGCCTTTCGAATAGTTTTAAAATCCCCTAAGTGGAAATGTAGTGAGGAGAGTTCTCATGCTTCCCGCCTCCTGTGTGGCCTGATCCTTTGCTCAGCACAGACCAGGTAAGTTGCCCATTTTCAGTCCTTTGTGCACCATGCTCTTTGGCGGGAAGTCATGACACAAAACCTGCAGTTAATCCCCGGTACCAATGAAAAGGAAAAAGACAAAAGACAAAAAAAAAAAAAAAAAAAAAAAAGAACGGTGGCTTAGGGTCACCCCTTGAGCCTGGATTGTCATAAATATTGAGAAATTCTGCACATGAGACACTATCCCCCGAGCCCAGCCACGCCTAGCCATCGGTGTGCAGAGGAGGAGCTGGGCGGATCTGGAGTGCCTGCAGAAGCCCCTTAATTTGTCTGGAGAACTGAATATCTCTGCAAGCAGGAGGGATCGCAGGTTCCTGAGGCACCTCGGCCTGTGGTGAGTGCTCAGCACACTCTGCCCAAATCTCAGACTGTTCCGGACCCCCCAGGCTTCCGGGTGCAGTGAAGTGGAGCAGCAAGTTAGAGACCACTACATCGGCCTCCCCATCCTGGATGCACTTGGAGGTCTGCTGAGCTTCCAATGGGTGGGCGGGCCCACACTATCCCCAGAGCCCAGCCTGTTTTGCTGCTGCGTCTTCCTTTGTCTGGAGGACTGTAGATATCTCTGCAAGCAGGGAGGGATCACAAGCTCCTGAGGCACCGCGGCCTGTGGTGAGTACCCTAACCCAGCTGCGATTGAAGAGCTGTGGAGCTTCCAAGGGGCAGGTGGGCGCACAGTGTCCCTGAGGCCCAGCTTGTCTGGAACTGCGGAGTTCTGAACAAGCAGAGGAGGGCCACTGGTTCTGTAGGCCCAATGGCTTGGGGTAGCACGGTGTCAGAGTCTCAGTAGCTCCAAACATAGAAGGGGATTTTCAAAAGATACTGAGGAAGCTTTCAAATAACACTTGAAACACAGAAATATAGGAAAATGACAAAACGAAAGACCACATTACAACCTCAAACCTCCAGCCCATCTCAGGAAACCCTAGGAGGAATGTATTTAGAAGAAAATATATCCCATCCACCTCATATATCAGACACAATAGCTACTGAAATTGACAAGCAACTCCAGGAAGCTTTAAAGAAATTCAAACTCGAAATAATCTCCCAGATAAAAGAAGAAATGATAAAAGAAATGAAAGAGATTCTAAATATATCTAAAGAAAACACAGATAAAAAATTGGAGGAACTAAACAAAAAGATAGAATCCCTAGACGAGCAATATAAGAAACAAACAGAATACATAATGCAGATGCACAGAGATATACAGGAAATAAAAAACTCCACTGAAAGTTGTAAAAACCTCCTTAATGAAAGTGAAGATAGAATTTCAGACTTGAAGACAGGATTGCAACTAGTGAACAGGAAAGGAAAGATCTTTTAAAAATAACAAGGAATCAGGAAACAACAATTCAACAACTGCAAGACGATGCAAAGAAGAATAACATAAGAATGATAGGGATTAATGAAAAAGAAGGAGACAACATAAAGGACGTCAAGAGGATATTTAGAGAAGTAATAGCTGAAAATTTCCCAAGCATGAGATCAGCAACTGACATCAGGATCAGTGAAGCATATAGAACTCCAAATAGTCATAACCAAAATAAAACTACACCCAGACATATAATAATCACCATCCCAGAAATCCAACACAAAAATAGATTATTAAAAGCTGTCAGAGAGAAAAGACAGATCACTTATAAAGGAAAACCTATCAGAATCACAGCAGACTTCTCATCACAAACAATAAAGTCAAGAAGAGCATGGAGTGAAGTATTCCAGATCCTAAAGCAAAATGATTTCCAACCTAGACTGATATATCCTGAAAAACTATCATTCAAAATAGATGGTGAAATACGATACTTCCATGACAAAGAACAGCTGAAGAACTTCATGAGCACCAAACCAACCCTGCAAAAAATATTGAAAGACAGTTTAGATACACAAAGGAAAAAACCACTAAGCAAAGCAAACAATTAAACAGAACAGAAAGATAAAGATGCAACAGCAGAGAGATAACATTCCTACAATTAACCAGCATTTAACAGTAATAACCATTAATGTAAATGGTCTCAATGCACCAATCAAAAGAAACTGACTAGCAGAATGGATCAAGAAACAAAATCCAACCATATGCTGTTTACAGGAAACCCATCTAACCCAGAAGGATACTCACAGACTGAAAGTCAAAGGATGGAAAACAATTCTTCATGCAGCAGGAATCCAAAAAAAGGCAGGAGTAGCCATTCTGTTTGCAGACAACGTGAACTTTAAACCAACAATGACCATAAAGGATAAAGAAGGTCACTACATACTCGTAAGGGGAAAACTCCAAGAGGAAGAGATAACTATCTTAAATATATACGCACCAAACTCCAGAGCACCCAGTTATATAAAACAATTATTAACAGAAATGAAAACTCAAATTATCAGTAACACAATTGTAACAGGAGACCTTAATACACCATTGACACCAAGGGACAGATCAACCAGACAGAAAATGAGCAAAGAAATAACAGAACTGAATCATACCTGTGAACAAATGGGTTTGATAGACATATACAGAATGTTCCACCCAACAACATCAGAATACACATTCTTCTCAGCAGTACATGGATCATTTTCTAAAGTAGACCATATATTAGCTCACAGAACATATTTAAACAAGTGCAAAAGAGCTGAAATCATCCCTTGCATTTTATCGGATCATAGCGCTCTGAAATTAGAAATTAATGATAAAAGATACTGCAAAAACCCCACAAACACATGGAAACTGAATAACACACTCTTGAGTAATCAGTGGGTCACAGAAGAAATTAAAGAAGAAATTAAACAATACCTAAAAGAAAATGAAAATGCAGATACAACTTAGCGGAATCTGTGGGGTGCAATGAAAGCCGTCCTGAGAGGAAAATTTATTGCACTGAGTTCCCACATCAGGAAAGCAGAACGAATACAAATAAATAACTTGATGCTACACCTCAAACAGCTAGAAAAAGAAGAGCAAGTCAAGCCCAAAGCCAAAAGAAGAGAGGAAATTATAAAAATCAGAGCAGAAATCAATGCAATAGAGACTAAGAAAACAATCCAAAGAATCAACGAATCAAAGAGTTGGTTCTTTGAAAGAATAAATAAAATCGATAAGCCCCTAGCCAACCTTATTTTAAAAAGGGAAGAAAAAGCTCAAATTCATGCAATCAGAAATGAAAAAGGTGAAATCACTACAGACCCAATAGAAATACAGAAGATCATCAACACCTATTTTGAAAACCTCTACTCTCAAATGTTTGATAACACAGAAGAAATAGACAGATTCTTAGAAGCATATGAAGTGCCAAGGCTAGATCAAGAGGATGTAAAACTGTTGAATAACCCAATCTGTGTTACTGAAATTGGAAATGTAATTAAGTCCTTACCCACCAAGAAGAGTCCAGGCCCAGATGGATTCACTGCACAGTTCTACAAGAAATACAAAGAAGACCTAATGCCGACACTCCTCAAACTATTCAATGAAATTGAAAGGGAAGCAATCCTTCCTAAGTCATTCCTGCAAGCAAATATTACTCTAGTACCAAAACCTGAGAAAGACCCCAACTATAAAAGAGAACTATAGACCGATTTCCCTAATGAACACAGATGCAAAAATCCTCAATAAAATATTGGCAAATAGGATCCAGCAAATGATCAAGAAGATTATACACCATGACCAAGTGGGATTCATCCCAGGAATGCAAGGATGGTTCAACATACGCAAATCAATAAATGTAATCCACCATATCAATAAAGCCAAAAATAAGAATCACATGATCATTTCTATAGATGCAGAAAAAGCCTTCAATAAGGTCCAACATTTATTCATGATAAAAACTTTACAGAAAATTGGAATAGATGGTCTTTACCTCAATATAATAAAGGCCATTTATGACAAACCAACAGCCAGCATCATACTAAATGGCCAAAAATTGAAAGCCTTTACGTTAAAATCAGGCACAAGACAAGGATGTCCTTTATCACCACTCCTATTTAATATAGTACTGGAAGTACTAGCCAGAGCAATTAGGCAAGAAAGAGAAATAAAAGGGGTAAAGATAGGAAAAGAAGAAGTTAAATTATCATTGTTTGCAGATGACATGATACTCTACATAGAAGACCCCCTAAACTCCATTGAAAGACTCTTAGATACAATCAATAAATTCAGTAATGTGGCTGGATACAGAATCAATACTCAGAAATCAATAGCATTCCTATACACAAACAACAAAATCACAGAGAGGGAAATAAGAGAAACTGGACTATTCACATTGGCAAGCAGAAAAATGAAATACTTAGGAATTACTCTTACGAAAGAAGTGAAAGACTTATACAGTGAAAACTATAATACACTGAAAAAGGAAATTGAACATGATCTCAGAAAATGGAAAGACATCCCTTGCTCATGGATAGGAAGAACAAACATTGTGAAGATGGCCATTCTCCCAAAACTGTTATATAGATTCAATGCAATCCCAATAGAAATATCATCAGCATACCTTATAGATCTAGAGAAATCACTCCTAAATTTCATCTGGAACCAGAAGAGACCTAGAATCACAAAGGCAATTCTAAGCAGCAAAGACAAAGCAGGAGGCATCACAATCCCTGACTTGAAATTATTCTACAAAGCAACAGTAGTAAAATCAACATGGTATTGGAATCAAAACAGAGCTGAAGATCAATGGAATAGATTAGAAGATACAACCACAACTACAAACACACCCAACCATCTTATCTTTGATAAAGGAGCCAAGCAGGTTCACTGGAAGAACGACAGTCTCTTTAATAAATGGTGCTGGAAAAACTGGCTCTCCATTTGCCGAAAACTAAAGCTAGACCCATGTCTATCACCATGTACTAAATTAAAATCTAAATGGGTCAAAGATCTGAATATTAAAACAGAAACACTAAATCTATTGCAAGACAAATTGGGTAGAAACCTTGGAGACATAGGAGTAGGTAAAGAATTCATGAACAGGACTCAAACCGCACGGGAAATACTTCCCATAATCAATAACTGGGACCACTTCTTATTAAAAACTTTCTGCATGTCAAAAAGAAATCTCCAGCATAGTGAAAAGAAAACCCACAAACAGGGAAAAGATTTTAGTGAACTCTCTCTCAGACAAGGGACTCTTGTCTAAAACATATGAAGAATTAAAAAAACTCAGACCTCCAAAATTCAAAGATCCAATCCAAAAATGGGCATCTGAGACGAATACGCAATTCTCAGATGAAGAAATGCAAATGGCAAATAAATACATGAAAAAATGCTCATCATCATTGGTCATTAGAGAAATGCAAATTAAAACCACACTGAGATACCATCTCACTCCTGAAAGAATGGCCAGGATCAAGAAAACCAACAACAAATGCTGGAGAGGCTGTGGGGAAAAAGGAACTCTCCTGCACTGTTGGTGGGAGTGTAGACTGGTACAGCCTTTGTGGAGATCTGTCTGGAGATTTCTCAAAAAGTTGGGATTGGAAATCTCATTTATTCCAGCTATTCCACTTCTAGGCATATTCCCAGAAGAACTGAAAGCATCATACCACAGTGATATATGTGCACCTATATTTATAGCAGCACAATTTGTAATCGTCAGATCTTGGAAACAACCCAAGTGTCCATCAACTGAGGAATGGATAAAAAAGTTGTGGTATTTCTATACAATGAAGTATTATTCAGCTATAAGGAAGGATCACATTGAGATATTTATCGATAAATGGGCGCAGCTTGAGACCATACTCATAAGTGAAATAAATCAATCTCGCATGTATGAATACCGAATAGTTTCCCTAATGTAAGTAATGATTCAAATATATAAAAATATGTGGTAATCATGATTCCCCATTATGTGGCCTTGAAGCCTTATAAAATTTTCACTTAGTAATTAGAAAGGATTTATTCTGGGCTTCTTGATATGGAAATATTTGAAGCTATAGTATATGAAGTTTTATCCAAATATTTCAAGGAAAAAGACAGACACTATGGTAACTACTATTAAATCGGGTTATTTGGTGATGAAGCACGAGGTTGCTGAAACAGTCATGCTTTGACCTCTATTGTTATATTGTTATGTCCTGTTTTAACTCAATCTCTCCCTTATTCTTTAAAAAAATTATTTAGTTATTTCTTATGTTTATTTTAATTAAGGGGAAAAATTTAAAAAATTAGGATATATAACAGTAACTCTTTTTGATTTCCTATTAACTTGTTTTGAAGTCCTGTAATACTCCCACGATCTTGTTTTGACTGATTAGACTCTGTTCCATTCTGTGTGATAGTATCAAGTTTGAGGGTCTAGGCAACTACTTTGAAGGCAATAAGATTCACTAAGATGCCCATTCTGGTTTGACTATTGTCTCCTTTGGAAGTCCTGTAATGTTTACAATGCCTCAGTTTTATTGGTCTTGTTCTCTACTGTTTTGTCCAACTTTATAATATCTAATGAGATAGACAATTCTTTTTAAGGAAACAAGAGACAACATTGATAACCATTGTTGATAACCTTGTACTCTGTTCTACATCATGTGCTATGTCTATCCTTGGTTTTGACTGACAGCTTTGTTTTGCCATATTTGACTTTATTCTCTCCCCCCCCAAGAAACTAATAAGAACTAAGGAGTAATAAAATCCAAAATGTGTAAATTTTCTTGTATAAAAGAGAGGGAGGAAAAAAAAAAGAGCTCTAACGGATATAATAGCAAGTGTGTTTAGGGGTGTTAAATAGCTGGCTATATTAATGTTTTTGGATCATTGAACACAGCTGTTTGCAGTCTCTCTGTTTGAATGTCCACTTTGTATTCTTTGATACTGTGATTTGAGCAAGTATTTCCAAGATGATAATATGTAATCTATTAACAGGTGATTTCTTACTCTTATTTTTTTTTGTAGTTCTGTATTATGTGTAACCTTACACCACTTTGTTTTGTTTTGTGTTTTTCTCTTTTTCCTCTTAAATAAAATTTAAAAAAAATTCTGCACATGAGATTTTTCTGTTCCCCCAGAAACACTTTTTTTTGTGTTTTTTTTTTTCCTTTGGTTTAGTCTTCTTGAGACTGGCTTTTGTTATGCAGTTCAGGCTGGCTGTGAACCCACTTTGAAGCCTAGGCATTCCTAAAACTCTCCTCTCCTGCCTCAGCCTCCCAAGTGCTAGGATTACAAGAGTCCACCATACCCAGCATTCTTACCATTCATACAAGAAATCCTCTAAAGTGATTTTTGAGTTTTATTGGGGGGGGGGAAGGGATCGAACTCATGACCCAGTGCTTGGCGGGCAGGCACTTATGCTGCTGAGCTAAATCTCCAGCCCTTTGGGGGCTTTTTTCTCTTCATGCCACCAGAAAAGCTGTTCATTTTCCGTGGTTTGCTTGAACATTTATTCATACTATGTTGTGTGGTCACTCCAAAGCTTGAGGGTACCATGAAACTGTTCACTTCAGTTTTTTTCCTCAACTCTTTTTTTTTTATTTAAAGAAAGACTAAACAAAACAGAAAATGGATAGAAATAATACATAATTTAAAAGAAAAAAATAAACAGTAAGAAATCACTAGTTGATGATTACAGATTGTCTCCTTACAAATAGTTATTGAAGATAGTAAAGTGGAGCTTATAAAGTGGGGATTCAAACAGTGAGATTGCAACCAGCTCTGTCCAACTATCCAACAGAAACTTAGAAATATGGTCATCAACCCTACACACTTACACATACATGCAGTTATCCATCTCTTCAATTATGTTGAGATTGAATAAACCCAAGCAGGCTAATATCACTCTGAACAAAGAATAATACTATTGCTGTGTTTCACATTATGACACTCCAGGATCAGCACTGGGTATTTTAGTGTGTCTTTTTCCTCAAAGTATCTGTTCATTACATCATGTGTCATATGTTCAGTTCTCATAAACCGTTTATAGATTCTACACATGCATGAGTATTAACATGTATTTCTATCCTTTCTAAATTAGAGGGAGAAACAAAACAAAGCAAAGCAAAACAAAACATATTCCTATAAACACATGAAATGAAAAAAGATAAGACCATTGTACAAATCATTCTACCATAGTTTCTGTGTTGTCTCTTGTTATCTCCAATCGAAATGGCTATATCATCAGACAGAGTATGATTGAATATGTCAATACATAACACTTGTGTTAGTAAAAACACAACATTGTATATAGTATAGAACTTCAAAAACTGGCAGTTATCAAACCAGAATGTGTATCATTCAGTCTTGTCATCTTCAGTGTAATTGCCTATACTCTCAGACTTGATACTATCAATCATATCAGTTTTGAATAAAATCTTCTCTGCCTCATTTCTATTATGCTCTTTTTTGCCATCTCGTGTCTGCTTATCTTTTCATTCTGTTTTCTGCTCCTTTCATTGAGGCCTCTCTGCCACTGTTCCTGGAGTCCTAACACTTTTCGCTCTCTCTCGAATGCCCTGGAGTATTCTCTGTAGAGTTGGATTGGTGGTTGCAAATTTCCCAAGTTCTTGTTTGTCTTGGAAGCATCTTGTTTCTCCATTAATTTCTAGAGACAGTTTATCAGGGTATATCAATCTGGGTTGGAAGTTATTTTTTTCAGGGCTTGGAATAATTTGCTCCAGGCTCTTCCTGACTTGATGGTTTATGTCGAGAAGTCTGCCATTATTCTGATGGGCCTTCCTCTGTAGGTTATCTGTTTCTTGTCTCTAACAGCTTTTAATATTCTGTTCTTATATTGAGTTACTGGAATCTTGATCATTATATGCCTGGGTGTAGCTCTGTTTTGGTTGTAGGTGGCTGGAGTTCTATATGTCTCATATATCAGAATATCATTCCTTTTCCTATGTTTGGGGAGTTTTCCTTAATTATTTCTGTGAATAACCTTTGTAGTTCCTTTGTTTGTATCCCAGATTCTTCACTTACATTCTTTATTCTCAAGTTATAGATCCTTTTGTCATCTTCTAGCCTTTGTATTGCTACTGCTTGTTTCCTTGTTATTTTAAAAAAGTTTTCCCTTTCATAGTCCCACATTGCAAAATTGTCCTCCACTTTGGATAATCTATCCTTAGTTTCTTTCAAGCTGCTTTGCCATCTTTCCATAGAGTTTTTAAATTCCTGGTGATCTCTTTGAATCTGCTTCATGTATTTTATATTTTTTTTTATATTCTTCACTAAATGGTTCTCTCCTGTGTTTGAGTTCCTCCCTTCTTCTGTCTGTGTCTGCTTGAGGGGTGCTGGGTATCTCTTTTACTAATCTTCTTATATCTTGCTTTATTTGGCTAAGCGTTTCACTTTTGAACTCATCTATGAGGTCCCAAATATATCTCTTTATGTCCACTGGTGCTGTGTCTGATATAGCATGTTTGCTGTTCTCATTCTCCTTTGTATTTACCTGTCCTGGGTCAGTGTTCTCAGGGTTGGGGCCTGGGGCTTTTTGTTATTGCTTCATCTTCCCATCTTTTTTGCTTCTTCCAGAAGGCCCCAGTTTCCTTTTTGTTGGTTACAATTCTTCTGAAGCATGTTGGCTAGATGACCCTTCACACTGCAGTGTGCTAGCGAGTTGCAGACAGAGACAGCGTATGCTGGCCCCTGCCCTCCAGATCAGTCAAGCTGCTGTGGCCTGCACTACTGTATTACTATGCGTGGCCCCCCTCCAGCCAAACCTCCGAGGCCCCCCTGGGCCAGTGTGGTTAGAGTGCAACACAGCTGCAGGGACTTGACCTCAGATAACTTATTGGGTCTCAGCCAGTTCACGTGACCCAGACCTAGCTCACTCCACCAATCCCATTCGGGAAGGGGACAATGGACTGAAGTCACTGCTGCACCTTGTACTTGCCAGTCCTGCCAGGTCCCAGAATGTCATCTGCCAGAACCCCCTATTTATGAAATGGCTCCACTCCCTTCACTCACCACAGGTCGATGTAGGTTCCCCGCCAACTCAGCTCGCTGATCCTCCAACTCAATGCAACGGCACCTCCAGTGAGTCGAAGCAGCGAGACCTCCCACGGCTTGGCAAGTCACGGCGGAACACCGGCAAGTCGAGGCGAGGCCCCGGCAAGTCACGGCAGGACCCAGGCCAGTGGTGGTGGAAGCCCAGCAAGGTGTGGTGGCGACATGGCAAGGCATGTCGGGGACCCAGCAAGCCCCCACGTGGACCCGGCAAGGTGCAGCAGGACCCAGCAAGGCACAGGGGGACCCTGGTAAGTCGTGGTGGGACCCTGGCAGGGTGTGGCAGGACCCCGACAAGTCACAGCATCAGCCATTCACAGCGGGACCTCAGATGGTTGGCAAGTCACCTTAATTTCTTCTTGGGATGAGAGAATTCATCTCCCTTGGTTTGGGGCTCCCCACTCTGTATTATTTTTAATTCTAAGTTGACTATCTCATGGAACTTCCGTAGCCAGTTGTTATCTATCCGCCATCTTTGCTCCAGGGTCTCCCTCAGCTCTTAACCTGATTTTTTTCCCCCCTAGACTGCATTGAATCCCGATTTTACCTAAAACATAGTGGATGGCTTTGCTAAGCCTCCTCTGATAGTTACTGCCTCACATTGGCCATTGGAAGATTAGATCAGGGATCTGGGTTCAACACACCCACAATGAGGCCAGAATTTCCATGGCTAGCTGCCAGCAGCTCCCATTTGAATGGGACACACATGTCCGCCTACTAGGGGGAACACACAGGATAGTCCCATTAGGTGGTATGGACAGTCCTGCATGCCTTGCAGCAGTTCATGCCAGTGGGAATTTGTTAAGCCAGAACAATACATTCCCACGTGTGTCATCTGGAAGTCAGGCATTGGAGTCAGCAGGCATTTTTCAGAAGGACTTGATGGATGGGGTCAGCTTCCTTGGCAGCTCAGGGTGGAAGACACGCTCCACGGTCCTGAACCAAGTCTTAGCCTCTGTAATGGGGCAAGGAGGGACACGACTCCTGCTTCCCCATCCCACTTGCATGGTCCTGTGCCTCTGTGCAGTCCCAAGTGCACAGGGATCCTTGCAGGTGACTTTCAGCTAGAGCAGGAAGCTGAAGTCCGGGATAATTTGCGTGCTGAACTCAGCAAGGAAATCAGGTCCTTAAAGATGTCTCAGAGGCATCTGGAAGCTGCTCTCGCTCATAAGGATGATAGAATCAGTGTAAGTCACCCTAGCCAACCCAGCCTGTTCATGAACACTCCGGAAACAAACTCACTGTGAGGATGGAGAGGCTCTTAATTGCCTCTCGCTTCTCTGCTAGGCTCTGACCAACTGCATCATACAGCTGAATCAGTTTGAGAGTGGATCTGAATCTGAGGGTCCAGGTCCAGGCAGATGTGAGCCAGGTGAATTAGCCGATGGAGAAGTGGGAGGTAAGACCGTCCCTAGCCCAAGGGCCTTTTTTTTCTTTTCTTTGAACCAGGGATCAAACTCATGACCTTGCACTCGCCACGCAGGTGCTTGTGCCACTGAGCTAAATCCTCAACCCTTCAAGGGCCCTTTTTTTGTCTTTATCTCTTTACTGTTATTTTAAACAAGCTCTCTATGTAGTGGCTGGTCTTGAAATCACTGTGTAGCCCACACTGGCCTCAAACCCACAGCAAATCTTCTGCCTCAACCTCCTAAACATTGTTGTCTTTAATTCCACACATAGATGCTGCTTCTCAGCTGACTTTCTTCTTGCCCCGACCCATGCAGCTCTTTAGGTTCTTAGTGTGAAGGACCACAAGAGGATGAGAAAATAGAGAGACAAATCAGGGGTCCTGGGGAGCCCTTACCCTCCTGATGGGAAGAAAGGAACTGGTCCCTCACTTCAGGGCTGTTTGTTTATACCTTTTAGCAACTTAATGTCACATGACACCCTGTTGTCCTAGCAGCCCACTGTTCAGATTCTCTTGGCGCTTAGTGTTCTCTGGGCTGAGGAAGCTTCTTCACATGGCAGCCCCAGGGGATCTTTGTTCTTGGGACAGCCATGCCCTGGCCATACACGTGTGGTCAGTTTCCAGCTTCAATGGCTCCCAACATCTGAATGATTCATACTCATGTCTGGGTCGCTGGGGTGCAGTAGCAGCAGGCAAGCAGGGAAAGCTGCTTTTCCACCCCTTGAGAACCGGATGTATACGCTGGAGCCTTTTGCCTTTGTGTTGGCCTCTGTGCCAGCGTCTTAGTTACTTTTTACTCATTGAGGAGACAAAATATCTGAAGCCTAAAGTTGAGGAAGGAAAGGTTTATTTCTTACAGTTCTGGAGGTTTCAGTCCGTACTCAGTTGGCTCCAAGGCAGGGTAGCATGGCATAGCCACAGTTCATGGCGGCTGCAAACAGCAAGGCTGAAACTGGCAAAAGACCAAGACACACCATGCTCCGTATATTACATCACATCCTGGCTCCACCCCTTTGTGGATGTAGCGCCGACACTATCAATCCAAGCACTAGATAATGATCCAATCACAAGTGTACAATGCAAACTCATGAGGCCTGGGGGCCACAGGCATAAACCATGACAGCCAGAGAAGAAACTTTCTCAGCTTCCTGCAGATGACACTTGGATCCACGCTCACGGCCTCTGCTATTCTGCGGTTCTCAGGCCCTTGGCCAAGGGTCACCTAGAGTATGGGGATGGGGGAGCCACAGCCCAGGCTGTGAGGGCAGAGGCTGGAGAGCAGCAGGGTGTGAGATGAGGAAAGTGGTCAGGGCACTGCCCCAGCTGCAGAGGGTGCTCAGGGTCCCACGCTGGCCAGCTCCCCCTATGCCATTGTGTGGCAGAGCTAGGCCTGCTCAGCCACAGCCCAGGTGGCATGCTGTCTTGGCAGGAGCTCACAAAATCTAAGGGTTCAGCTGTCATAAAAGTCAGTGTGCCAGTTCTGTTGGTGAATTATTTTTCTTTCAGTGTTTGATGAGCATTAGTTCAGTTTTGTGGAAGTCAGGACAACAGTGTTAGAAACAGCACAGGAAGAAACAGCCACACTTGTTCTCTTTGTAGGTGAGGAGAGTAAGCTGAAGACTCGCATGAACCAGCTGATGGATGTCTCTGGGGTGAGTCCCTTCACAGCACACCCCCAGGGGCCGATGAGTCCTGACTGTGCCTCACTTTCAAGCCTGTGCCTCTCCCTCACAATTTTCAGACACAAGCCAAAATATCCGTGCTTCGGGAGGAACTCAAACTCCTGCAAGTTAAGCCGAAAGCCTCCCTGTCTGCTAACTGTGACCTGAAAGGTAGTTCCCTGAACACATGGTGGTCAGGCTGAGCACTGGCATGGATGAGGCAGGGATGCTGGGAGCCTGGTTCTGTGTCTTTCGTGGTGCCCTTGGTGACACGTCTCACCTCCCAGACCAGATCAAGAAGCTGAATGAGGACTGTGGCATGCTGCAGTCAGCCAAAGCCAGGCTGGAGGAGGAGTGTAGGATGCTGCAGCAGAAGGTGGAGATCCTGAACGAGCTGTACCAATAGAAGGCGATGAAGCTACAGAAGTGAGTCCGAGAGATTTTGCCCAGTGTCTTGTGCTGGCCATCCCTGTCACTTCTGATTGTCTCACAGCTTTGATGTGCAGTGATCATAGAGGAAACTTGAGGCACAGAGTGCTGCTGGCTTCGTGACCCGGGGCGGCTCCTGCCTGTCAGCCGTCACCATCATCCAGTTAATAATTCAACCCAGCATCCCTGCCTCTGTAGACTCAGCTCCATGCTTGTTTCTTAAAGCCTAGGGATTTGTCTAAAGCTCAGTTCAGCGTCTTTGGTATTGTCCTCAATGTGTGGGTGAAGGAGGGCAGCACTGGCCTCTGGGGCCCCCAGGTCACTTTCTGGCTGGCTCCCGTCCACCCATTCGGCATTCCCTGTGTGCTTATCATGGCCAAGGTCTAGAAGAACAGCTCTTCCCAGACAGCATGGAGGATGGGGGGGGGGGCTCCGCCCATTGCTTTTCCAGCCAGCTCTGCTGGGCAATCCTGGCTTCCCTCAGGGTGCACTCATCTCCCACACAGGCAGCTAGTGCCTGGCGCATGCTGTGCTCTTAGCTTGTTCTGTTTGCTGATTAGAGAATTACAAGGAGAGGTAGGAGAATACAAGAATACAAGCAAATGGCCCGGAGCCTGGAGCTTCACCTCCCTCCTGAGACCCTGTGCCCTGCTGCTGGATGGGGAAGTGGCCTGTGGGCTAGCTCACCCCTGGCAGCTGCCTTTCACCTAGGAAACTGATTCAGGATGAATTGGAGCTGCAGGAGCAAGACCAGTGGCTGTCGGCTGCAGATGAGAAGGTGCTGCTGGCCACAGAGGAAGTCAAAGTCTACAAGTGAGTGTGGTGTCTGAGGCAGAGGAACAGGGCAGAGTTGCTTTGTTACCTAGAAGAGATGGGCACAGAAGCATATGAACAGTCCAAGCATGGAATGCATTTAATGCACACGGGGCGGGGGTCTATCTTAACAGACGGGAAGCTTGTTAACAGCGAAGCTCTTTTGCAGAAGTGTCCTGTGCCCATCTTTAGGAAAGCAGCCTGCTTCTGTCACACGTCCACCCACAGAGTCTCGGTGCCCCAACAGGCCAGGGGCAGCATTTTGGGTCATTCTTGTGGCTATAATTTGAGGGAAAAACCTTTATGGGGAAGGTACCCTTAGCCAGATTATTTTGAGAATGTTATTACAAGGACAGTTAAGGAAATTTACAAGTTGTCAACTCATAATCTCTAGCCATTAAATGAAAAATCAAGAAACTGAGGTTGTTCACGCTGCGCTCATCACATTACAAAATGTTTCTGTATGATGAGGACTTTAAAGATCAGACATGGTCAGATTGTTTCAGATTTTATTTGGTTCTAACTGCTACGTATTATTTTTAGGCAGAGAATTCATGAAATCGAGCAAGAATTAGAGAAAACAGAGCGCTCATTTAAAAACCAGGTAAGGAATAGGCAGCCGCGTGGTGACAGCTTGCATTAATCCCCCACACAGACAGACATCAGAGGGCTGCAGCGGAGGGCTGCAGCCATGGTGCCGCGTCCCTCAACCTGTGTCTTGCCTTGTTCTCTTGCAGCTTGCTATTCACGAGGAGAAAGTCCAGGAGAACTGGGTAAGAGCTGCCTCCTCAGCTCGCCCCCTCCAGCTTCAGTCAGCCTCTGTGCTGAGCTGGCCCCTCTGTCTCCACAGGTCAAAGCCTGGCACACCGAGCGCCTAATTGCAAAGGAGATGCGGGAGGCTGCCAGCCTGCGGCAAAGGTGAGCAGCCACGTGGCATGACCCGTGGTGCCCACATTTCAGCCCGCTCCGAGTGGCTATGGTCACCCCAGCTGCACTCTGTCTGCATGCAGGCTCCTGGAGATGACCGAGAAGCTGGCCATGAGTCAAGAGGAGCCAGTGATCGGCAAGCCGATGCCGGACCAGCCAGAAGTGCAGAATGCGCCCCGCAGAGGTGGGCGCTCTGTCCTTCTGAGTGCAGCTCAGGGAACTTAACCATTGCAGAGAAGTGGTAACCAGTGCGTGTTGTCGCCACAGGTCCCGAGAGCCAGAAAGGCTCTTTGGCCCATACCCTGTGAGAGGCGATGAGTGCTCCCCGCCTCCAGTTGCAGAGCCGCCCACAAGGCAGCCCTCTGCCAGCCTGAACTTTGCAGGCCGCGACATCCCAAGAGCCCACTCAGTTGAGTCTCTCCGGGGCCTCGTGGCCCAGACTCAGGGGCACGGTGCCACCTGCCCTGGGCACGGTTCCCTGAGCTCTGGTACAGAGCCTGGGTACTCCAGGCTCGAGGTTTTCACTTAGCCCTGGGCCGTGTGCGGGCCCACCCCGATTGCAGTGCTCCAGCAGGGTCCTGGGAGCCAGCGCCCACCTCGTCACTCCCAACCGCCTCCGGCCTGGGCATGGTGGAGCCCAGCAGTGTCATCCTCTCCCTCTCTGCACAGTAGTCGACGAGTGTGTGCACTTTCTTCCCTGGGCTGCCAGGGGCTGCTCCCTAGCTCAGCGGTTCTGAGTGTTGCTGGTTCTGCCTGCTGCTACCGAAGCTCATGGTCGCTGGGTGCAGGCTCCGTCTTCCGCATCCCTGTATTCCTCCTCCACAGCCTGGGACTGAAAGCCGCCTTTAACACACTGAAAGCTATACTCATTAATTTTCCTTAGAAAAGGCTTGACCAAGAGCAAGCTGTACTAAGAACATGTCATCTGAAACATAATCTGGTATTGGCCTTAGAAGCAGTCTAATTCCTGATAAAGTAATTAACTCAAAAAGCACTCAGCTCTGATAAACTTAACACTCAAGCATGCACACATGCGCGTGCACACACACACACACAAGCACACATGCAGCACCACTGCAGACTATTCTCCAATCTTCCACTAACACATGGATTGATAACCTCGCAAGAGCTCCAGCAGAGAAGCACAGCGCCCAGGGCTACATCTGCCCTGTGCACACCCTGCGCAGTTAGCGCAGTTAGCGAGCTGCTGCAGCGGGAGGACTTCTTCTCTGGATGCTCCGAGCTGTTACTCTAAGAACAGCACCCAGAACAAGATCTCCCTGAGCAAGCTTTTAAGAAAAGATAAGAAAGGGCAAACAGTTCAGTCTTCAGGGTCATGCGGTGCAATGCTAAGCTTCCCAAATATTCCTTGGAAACAAAAGCAAATGAAAAATAGTGATTAAATTAAGAAGCCAAAAATCCCACTGTAATTATTTTATCATTAAAAATGGAATGTAATACTTTTCTTTATAACCACCATACAACAGACACCCTAATTAGTGTTGTAATCTTTTACTTAATGTATCCATTGTTATACAAGATGCTAAAAATTAAAATCATTGATTAAAAGATAATTAACAAAAGTAGTTACTTAAAAATATAGTTATTAGTAATATTGTCATTCTGTACTGAGCTCATTACCCTAGTAACCAAGCACCAACCACATAGTTATAAATTAACTGACCATGTCATTCTGCTGTTCTGTAATGCATCATCCCCCCCCCACTTAGTGACCTGTGTGCTATGTCAACTTTTGTTCCCCTTGTAAGAGACAAATGATGCTGTGTCAACCATTGTTCCCTTTATGAGAGACAATGTTCCTGGAATTGGCAGACCAAGGGCTATGAATTGGCTAACCACTCACTGTGAAATGCCTCTGACCTCAAGCAAAGGGGAACAAAGGCCCACCTTATTTCTGTTTCTCATCACTATGTACTTAATGATCAATGAGCTAATCATACATGAACTTTAAAAATCATTCAAAACTCTAACTCAGTTGCACAGCTTTTCAAATTCCATCTGCACTGTGTCGTTGGGCCAGCTAAAATAAAAGTGCTTATTTTAAAAAGTCTTCTTGCCCCATTTGTCATTTTGGGGTCTTGCCCCATTTTTCATCATGGGGTCTTATTGTGTGAGTAGAGTACAACATTTGGGGGCTCTCCGGGATTACACGGGCACCCCCACACACACATTTTTTCACCGATCGTTCGGCTTGAAACGTCTCTAAGTATTTGGATCTTTTGTTCTTTGTAATTTGAGTGCGCACCTTTGAAGTTTAGAGGAGGTTGGCTGGCTCCTTCTGCACCGGAGCGGGACGCCCTCTGGGACAGGGCTTCTAGCCCATTTGTGATTTGGGATTTTTTATCCATTTGGTTTTGTGCTTGGTATGTTTTAATGGTGGAGTCATTTGTTCATTTGAATCTGTTACCTCAGTACTAAAATTTAGATTTCTTTTTTCTCTGAAACTACTGTTGCAAGTTCCATGCAGCTTATTGGACTTAAGGGTCATAATGAAAATTTATTTCCCTTTAGGTCGCCGAACCATGGACAGAAAATCCTTTGTTTGTGTCTTTAATGTTGGTCTTGTCTTTTGTTGCATCTTGTTTAATGTTTTAGTCCTCAACTGATTATGTACAACCTTGGCATGCCTTTAAAGGTATTTTTCTGGTTAAAATGTAAATATATAACAATACATATATATTTACACACATACACATACATACATATATACATATATATATATGTGTATATATATATATATGGTTATGTTTTTTAAAATCATATTGGCTTTACCAAATAAAGACAGGTCATACTGTTATTGAGCCAGTTTTAAAAGTTACAGTTTTTAAAGTGTAATATTTTAAGGTGGTAAAAAGACATAAAATGATTTAATATATTTTAGACTACTAAGAACGTCACTTCAAGGATTTTGTTAAAAGTTTTAATGTTGTCTAAAAAGCTAGAAAAAAGGTAATTGACTGGTAATAAACAGAAACAGAAAAACAAATGTGTTCAGAATTTGACAGTATTGGATCAGTAAACCTTTACTGCAAAATGTTTCCATTAAAATGAGATTATATTTCAAAAAGGGGAGGACAACCTGGAGCCCTTTGTCATCCTAAGTTTATATAATGATAAAAAGTCAGTGTTGACCATATATAAAATATATTTGCCTATGAAAATAAAAATTAAAAGGACTGTAATTCTCAGTCCCATCTGGACTAGAAGCCATCAGCGTTCTGAATTGCTGGACTCCTCTTCCTCACCCCCCTTTTTCTAAGGACCCTCAGGGCCTTATTTGTCTTTTGGAATTTGTCTTCTCCATTCATCACCCCACTTGTGATGACTGCCAGCAGATTTTGCAGATTTTGTTTACAGTAAAAGAGAAAAAAAAAACATTCATGTTGTGGGATAAAAAGCAGTGTGCATTCCAAATAAAAACCTGTCCTCTGATCCCGAATGCCAGAACCGTGTTTTCCCTTTGTTCCGCCCTGATTGGACAACCAGAGGTAAGAAGGCTCTGGTTAAGTATCGCCAGTTGTTCTCAGAAGCCTTTAAGGGCTACCAGAAAACCCACCAATTTGTCCAAGGTAGCAGAAGGGAGACAATTGGGTGATGAGTCTCCCTCGGGGTTTCTGGAGAGATTGCTAGAGGCCTATTACATTTGTACACCTGTAGATCTGGTAGCACCTAAAAAAGGCAAGGGCCATTAGTAATACCTTTGTAACTGTCAGCCCCTGATATTAAGCAACAATTACAAAGGCCTCAGAGATTTAAAGAAATGCCCCTCAGGTAATTACTAGATTTTGCTTAGAACTGACTCTTTCCTCCCAGCTGGTGCAAGCCATTCAACAGATTCCAGTTCCTGTGACTAAAAAGCGAATATGAGAATTTCTAGGAGCCATAGGATATTGCCTGCTTTAGATTACAGACTCATGAGACCAGGCTTTTCAGCAATTAAAATCAGCCTTAACAGAAGCTCCAGTTCTGGCTCTGTCAAAGTTACAAAAACCTCTCTTTCCCTCTGTGTTGATAAAAAACAAGAGATAGCAAAAGGAGTACTGACCCAGAGTTTAGGACAATGGCAAAGGCCTATTGCCTATCTTTCCAAGAGCCTTGATAATGTGACAGCCATCACCTGCAGATGATTGCCTCGGTGGTCCTCCTGGTGAAAATGGCCCAAAAGGTGACATTTGGACAAAAACTTTTAATTATCTCCTCTCATTCACTGGAGACTCTCATCAAAGCTTCACTGGATGGATGGCTGCCTAACTCCCAAGTCATGCACTATCAGGCATTACTTCTGGATCTGACTACCATCAGTTTCAAGGGGACAGTGCCTTTAAACCCAGATACTCAGCTGCCCAATTATGATCTCTCCTTGCCCCTCTGATCATTTCATGGGGCTTCGACCAGACTTGACAGATGAGCCACTGTCCGGAGTTCCATCATATTTCTCTGATGGAAGCAGTCACATCTATCAAGGTAAGCAGATTATGGGAGCCGCTGTCACAGACTCTCAGATTCTATGGGAACAAAGCTTGGAGCCAAAAACATCAGCCCAATGGGCTGAACTCATTGCCCTCACTGAGGCCCTCAAGTTGTCAGACTGATAGCAGATATGTATTTGCTACTGCCCATGTTCATGGGGCCATTGATCAGGAATGAGGTTTATTGACTTAAGGGGGCCAAAAGATAAAAATGCTCCCCAAGTTTTGGATTTGTTAGCTGCTATTTGGATGCCAAGGATTATGGCTATAACAGAGTCGCAGCCTCCCAAAAAGCAGCCACAAAATCAGTGGGGATTGAGACAATCCCAGCATTGCTACTGATTCCACCCACTCTGTCAGAGCCCTTTTGCACTCAAAAAGACTTACATTTCGCAGCTCAACTCCAAGCAAAGTCTGATATCCCTGGGGGCTGGTACCAACTGCCTGATAATTGAGTCCTCCTCTTTGAGGCCTTGAGATGAAAACTCATCCAACAAGCTCATCAGTCCACTCACATGGGAGGGTCAAATCTCGCTGCTCTTTTTGAGATCATTTCTTTATCCCTCAGTTATCAAAGCTTACTCAGGCTGTGAGCCTTAGAGGCCCTCAGTGCCAGTTGGTAAACCCTAAGCAACCACAACAAATGGAAACCACTTGGTATCGTGGGACTATGCCTGAAAAACATTGAGAAATAGAGTTCACAAAAATAAAAAAGCCTGGACTTTAAGGGAATGAATACTGGTAGATAGATTTCCTACTAAGTCTTGAGTCAGCCCTGATAGGAGAATCCCCAATTTGGCCTCCTTTTATCTATGGGGTCTAACAATGGCCCGGCTTTTATAGCCCAGATAACTCAAAAACTAACCCACGTTTTGCAGGTTGATTGAAAATTCCATTGTGCTTACTGGCCTTAAAGTTCAGGACAAGTAAAAAGGATAAACCAGACTTTAAAAATGGTAATAACTAAGATGGTATTAAAAACTGGCGAGAACTGGGTGAGTCTCCTTCCTTTTGCTCTCTTGCGTGCACAATGTACCCCATATGTTACAGTTGTTTCCCCTTTAATGTTCTATGTGGGAGACCTCCTCCTCTTATTCCTAAGATTTCTAAAAAAAAAAAAAATAGCTGATCTGGCTAATCAAGATCTTGTTAAGTTCCTCCAGGCCTTTTAGCTATCTCTGACTTCCATCCACCAGTTATTCCGAGAACAACAACCTCTGCTGCAACCCATCCTGAGGATGAATGTCGTGCAGTGAAACCTAGGACACTACTCATCAAGAGACATCACCGTGAGTCTCTCAAACCATGGTGAGAAGACCCTTACACCATGGTTCTCAACACTCTGGATGGCATCAAAGTCACAAAAAAGCCTGCCTCGATTCATCATTACCACGTCAAACCAGTTCTGGCCTCTGACAGCAATCAACATACAGATAAGTGGACTGTTGTTCCCTTCAAGGATTCTTTAAAGCTTAAGATTGCCAAATGTATCTGATAATCTTGTTCTAAATTTTCTAAATCTTGTTCTAAATCTTGTTTTAAATTCCTGTAGAGATGACACCTTTTGTTGGTGGGTTGCTAAGCCCCTGCTGACACTGGACAATGTACAGGGTGCTCCAGAAACCTGTGTTTCCTCTGCCTCCTACTCTTTACACACTTCCCCTTATGCTGCACTCTGTAATTCTACCTCTTCAGCTTTGATTTATACTTTTTCCTATCCTGCTAATTAACACCTTGTTGCTCCCAATGGAGCCTGGTTTGCCTGTACTTCTAATAACTCCTTGTTCCATGCATCACCTGTTCACCCAGTGCCTTGAGCATTACATATTAGACATATCTTTCCCCAAGTGTATTGGTACTCTAGAGATAATGGTAAGAGTCACTTGTTTCCTAGCTTTGACTTAAAGAGTCCAGTATAACAAGGTCAATAGGTTTAAGAGTGTCCAGCCTAATAGTCAAAAAAACCAAAATTATAGACACCTTACCTGCACTCATTGACCAAGATTTAACAGCCCTTAGTGACTCTGTCTCCAAATTAGATGATTCTTTAAGTTCACTGACTGAGATGGTTTTACAAAACTGGCAGGGTCTAGACGCCTGTTCCAAAAGGAAGGAGGCCTTTGTCTGGCATTAGGCAAAAATTTTTGTCTGTATGCCAATCATTATGGGGTTATCAGACAAGGTATGGCCAGCCTTAAAAGGCAGCTACAGGATCAAGAACAAGCCAGACAAGCTGAACAGAATTGGTTTGAGTGGTGGTTTTCTCTATCTCCCTGGTTGACAACGTTAATCATAGCAGCCTCCAGACCTGTGTTAATCTTACTTACTTGTTTAACAATTGGACCTTGCATTATAAACAGATTAGTAAATTATGTCAAAGACCAGGTTCATACAATAAAACTCATGGTTTTAAGGACACAAGTTTATGAACAAACACCACTGCTTAAAAATTCCATGAGCCAATGATTTGGAACACTGACAAAACTCAGTGGGGAATGTTATACTAAGATGCTAAAAATTAAAATAATTGATAAAAAGATAATTAACATAGTTATTTAAAAATATACTTATTAGTAATATTGTCATTCTGTACTGAGCTCATTACCCTAGTAACCAAGCACCAACCACATAGTTATAAATTAACTGCCCATGTCGTTCTGCTGTTCTGTAATGTGACATCCCCCCCCCTTAGTGACCTGTGTGCTATGTCAACTTTTGTTCCCCTTGTAAGAGACAAATGTCAACCATTGTTCCCTTTATGAGAGACAAATGTTCCTGGAATTGGCAGACCAAGGGCTATGAATTGGCTAACCACCCACTCTGAAATGCCTCTGACCTCAAGCAAAAGGGAACAAAGAAAGGCCCACCTTATTTCTGTTTCTCATCACTATGTACTTAATGATCAATGAGTTAATCATAAATGAACTATAAAAGTCAGCCAAAACTCTAACTCAGTTGCACAGCTTTGCAAATTCCATCTGCACTGTGTTGCTGGGCCAGCTAAAATAAAATCGTTTCTTTTATAAAGATGTCTTGCCCCATTTGTCATTTTGGGGTCTTGCCCCGTTTTTCCTCATGGGGCCTTGTTTTTTGAGTAGAGTACAACATCAATGTGTTTTCTTTTCTCAAAATAATCTTAAACACAGCTGCTAACCAAAGACAATAAATTATAGGATTCCACATACATGAGATGCCAGAATAGATGAATTAAATTAAGGATGGCCCAGGGCTAGAAACAGCAGGGGTCGGAAGGGGAGAAATCAGTGACTGCTATAGACACAGGGTTTCTTTTATGTGTTGAAAATGTCCTAAAATTGATGGTGGTGGTGGGTGCACATGTGTCAGGGTACTGAGAAACACTGAAATGTACACTTTACATTGGTGAATTCTTTGCTGTGGAACAGCTGGGACCGCTGGAGATGGGCTGTCACCTAAGTCCAAGATCCTGAGGTTCGGCAGGTTCTGGGTCAGTGCCAATGGTCAAGGGAGTTAACTTGGACTCGAGTTCCAGCAGCTGGAGCTGCTCCAGGAAGGGGAACAAGGAGCCAATGACATTCCTGATGTAGTTGAAACTCAGCAAGAGGTTCCTGGTGGTGCTGGGGACTGGGAGGACCTGTTTGAGGTTGCAGAAATGAAACAAGGCTATCTGGCCATCAGAGGAGCAGGACTGGATGCTGAGCACAGGGCTGGCTGTGAGCACCACACCTACCAGGAGGCCAAGTGGACCAACCATGGTCCTGTGGAGGAAGACAGGACACGGCACTCAGCTCAAGTCAGTGCAGGTGGGCCCAGAGCCTGTGGATCCCCTGGGCTCTGCATTCCTCCAGGCCCTTTTGCCCTTCTGATTTGGTGAGTGGGCTGCAGGCAGAGGCTGTTGGGAAGACAAAGCTATTCCCGTTACCCATGACACTTCATGCTGCAGTGTCTCCATGCTGGTCACCACTCCAGGGATCTAAAGGACACTGTGCCGGGCTAGGGATGTAGTTCAGCTGTGACAGCACTTTCCCAGCATGCCTGGGCCCTATGTTCCATCCCTAATACCACAAAACAAGATGAAACAAAACAAACAGAACCTTACCTATTCTTTACATGTCCGGCGCCGCTTCCGCCCCGCGGAATGGAGCACACGAACACTCAGCCTCTGCAAGCACCTTTATTGACTGGGCAGCAACCTCAATACATGTCCGTCCTCGACGGCTTCTTCCGTGTTGTGCGTCGGGCACTTCCTATACTTGGGCTTATATAGCTAATGTTATCCAATCATGGGATTACACGTGGGGACAGGCGATTGGACGGCAACAAGGAAGCAATCAATCATTACCATATATGGCGGGGACAGTAAGCCGAGCAAGAACCAGGAAGCAGGATGTGTGCGCCATCTTGGGCACACGATGGGCGGGGAAGCAGCGAGGCGGTAGGCGGACGCCATCCTGTGGCTATATTCTCATGGGTAATACGGCAGGCTCCCAACATCTCCCCCTTTCTTATTTACAAGAAAGGACAGCGAGACCTTCCAAGTGACTACAGAGGTCTGTACCCCGCTGTGCATGGCTCTGAGGTCATCCCCCAGCACAGGTTGGCCACCCCCGCGTCGGAAGGGACCTCCAAGCCTCATCCTTTTGCGCAGGGCTAGGGTAATTCGGATGAAACCTAGATGCATACAGATGTATAGCCTGACATCTCTCTTCAAAAACCCCAAGAGTAGAATGTCATGCAGTACCATCTGGTCTCGCACCTTGGTGCCTCTTGCTGTCTTAATGGAACGGGACCTGTCTTAGGTTGAGCAAGGTGGGGTACCTTGATCTTACCTGTCTTCGGCTCGCCCATTCAGCATCCCTATAACTGATGCTCTGCAACATGAAGGAGATATGCAGCCGCCCGACCACCAGATGGGCCAGCCTCCGCCAGCTGCATAGCCACCATGGCTGTAAATCTGACTTGTTGTTGAGTCTGCATCAAACGATCAAGCAAGCATTTAACAACCACTAATCCAACCAGGATAGCAACAGCAATAAAAATCCAGGTAGTCAAATTGGACCAGGAGAACCAAGAGGTGACATGATTCCATAAACCTTTTAGAACATCACTCAGGGTAGACAAATCAAATCTAACCGGGTTCAACTGAATTTTTTCTATTTCGTCTAATTCCTGACTAACAATCATTGACAGGTTGTGAAATTTTGGCAAACAAGTGTCCTGCAGCCATTTAGTCATAGTCTTTGTAGTTTCAGTCAGGTTGGTGCGAACAGGGGTGACGCAGACCCGGAAAGGCAGCCACCTCTGATCACAGAGTTGAGTGGCAACCTGCCACAACGCATCAATCTCCTGCCCGATGAGCTGGATCTCTTCTTGTAGCCAAAGTATAGCCTGGCTGTTAAGCTCAATCTGTTGCCTTTGAGCCTTGATGGTCTCTAGTGTGGCGTTGCTCAGCCGATTGACTGCATCCATGGTCAGCGCAAGCTGGTCGGAGGTCCATGCCTGCAAAACAGCCTGTCCCACTGCAGGGACAAACAGAGAAGAGACCACCCCCACTGCCTGCCACAACCAATCTTTTATCCCTCCTTTTGTTCTGGTTGGCAACGAGGAGAGTGTCCTGGGCTTGGACGGGAACCCAAAGATCAGGGAGAGAACAACATAGGCTGCTCATTTTTTTTTTTTTTTGTCTTTTTCGTTTTTATCAATACCAGGGATTGAACTCACAACTGCCTGCTTACAAGGCAGGCGCTTATGCTGCTGAGCTAAATGTCCAGGCCTTTACCGGGGGTATAGCCCATCTGCTTCATCATGTTTTGAGCCACCTCGGAACATCCCGTATGTAGGGTGATGTCCATTTGGACTAGAATATCTCTGCCCCAAAGGGTTACTGGGAGGTTAAGGACATAGGGTTGAAAAGACCCACCATGTCCCTCCTCGTCCTGCCAGGGAAGGGACTGCGCACTTATACTGGGTGAATGCACAAATCCCAATCCCTGAAGGGTCTATTCTGCCACATTGAGGGGCCAGGAGGCCGGCCAATCTTTATGAGCAATGATAGAGCGGTCAGCGCCGGTGTCTAGCAACCCCTTAATTTTCTTACCATTGATTGAGAGGAGCAACATGGGTCGTTCCTGCAAGGTCATATGAAGGCCAATAAAATTTTCGCCCATGGACCCAAATCCCTGGGCACCCCGAGACTGTTGCTTAGCTGGATATTGACCATGCAAGCTGGGCAGAATAAGTAACTGGGCTATCCTATCCCCTTTGTTTATAATCAGTGTTCCTTGTAATGACTGAGCCATAATCTTAACCTTGCCCATATAATCAGAATCAATGACACCTGGCACAACTGTAAGGCCACGAAGGGCCACTGAAGAGCGCCCTAAAAGCAGGCCAACAGTATTCGGTGGCAATGGCCCCTTAAATGAAGTTTCTATCAATTTGACTCCCATTTCAGGTGTTAGTATGAGTCCGGAGGCAGCACAGAGGTCCACTCCTGCTGACCCTGGGGTAGCCCTAACTGGCTGTTCACTCCCGGAAAGGGGCTGCTGGGGGAAAGGGGGCCCGCCTTGTAGGAGGGCCCCCTCTGGCCATTTTTTGGCTGTGAGTCTTTACGGCCAGTCAGAGAATTGCCCTCCTTATCAAAAACAGCATATGAGGCAAGGCCCCTACGCAGGACGTCCCACAAGCGACCATGAAACGAGCGGCGTCCGGAGGACGGAAGTGTGGCAGGGAAGGGAGGGGGTGGCCCCCAGCCTTCAGGTGCGCTCATTTCCTGGGGTGGCTCCCAGGGAGGGGCAGACAGGGTTGGTCTCGTCCCGCCTGGGGTATGTACTTCCTGTATATCATTCTCCACTCTCTCGAGCTCTTCCTCTAAGCTCTCCATCAGCCCTTCACACAAGGCTCCAGCAGGTTTATGAACTTTCTGCCCTGTATTGCGATGTGGGCCTATCTTACTGTCAGTTTCCTCCTCTGGGCCCACCTTAGGGTCTTCCCCCTCTGAATCTGAATGGCTCGGTGAGCCAACCTCTGAGGCCTCCCTGGAGCTCTCCGAGCGCGCCTGCTCGAAAGCGTGGCATGCCTCTTTGAGTCTCTGGGTATGGTATGCCTACCATACTTTCAGTTTTGAGACATGCCCGAACCATCTCCCATATGGGGCGGACCATAGGGTCGACATCCATCCCTTGTTCCTCAGCAAACTGAATATCACATCCTAACTTCTCCCAGGAGGGTAAAGTGAGGGATCCGGTGGGCAGAAACCATGGGGCCAAACCATCGATACATTTGAAAAACTGCAGCACCGTTTGCTTATCTATCCTAATCCCTCGCACCTTAAGCAACAACCACAGCGATAAGGCGAGGGGGCCGCAGTTAACATTGCCCATCTTAACAAAATTAAAGAGCCCCGAGGCGCAATAGCCAACAGAGGCCTGCCCTTCTTGTTCGGGCAATGTCGATCCCCTCAAGGGGTCGACCAGTAGGTCCCTTAAAGTGCGTCCACCAAGGGCCGGGTTAAGCCGCCGCTCACCCGCAGGTACGTACCGTCTTTCAACACAGTCACAGGAGCCGAAGAAGGCACGGGAATGGTTTCGAGTCCCTGTACGGGACACCAGCTGTCCGGCGCCGCTTCCGTCCCGCGGAATGGAGCACACGAACACTCAGCCTCTGCAAGCACCTTTATTGACTGGGCAGCAACCTCAATACATGTCCGTCCTCGACGGCTTCTTCCGTGTTGTGCGTCGGGCACTTCCTATACTTGGGCTTATATAGCTAATGTTATCCAATCATGGGATTACACGTGGGGACAGGCGATTGGGTGGCAACAAGGAAGCAATCAATCATTACCATATATGGCGGGGACAGTAAGCCGAGCAAGAACCAGGAAGCAGGATGTGTGCGCCATCTTGGGCACACGATGGGCGGGGGAGCAGCGAGGCGGTAGGCGGACGCCATCCTGTGGCTATATTCTCATGGGTAATACGGCAGGCTCCCAACATTTACATTAACTGTCTTTGTTCATTCCTTCAAAATTTGCTGAGGGAAATTGCAGGAAGAGACAGAATGTTGCTTCCTCCAGCCAGAGGGTCCCTTCCAGCCCCAAAAGCTCACCTGAGGACTGGCAAACACTCCACTGTCCCTGTCTCTTCCCTGGCCTCCAGTCCCCTTCCAGGGGTCCCAGCTGGTTCACAGCCACCACAGGGAATTGGTGTACTCTGTGTGGCCTCTCCAGCACCTGACTGGGTCAGTGTCATGGGATGCACTGGGAGCCCCACACAGGCTGAAATCTGTGTGTGTGAGAGCCTGACAAGGGCCTATCCACCCACGAATGTCCCCAGGGAAGCTGACCTCTCTTGGTGTGGGTGTCTGCCTAGTGTGAGTCATGGCAGAGCAAGTGTTGTGTGCATGTGTCCCAAGTACTATGTGGGGTCCTGTGAGAACACAGGGAGACTGCAGGGCCCCATCCTCAAATCTGCCACCATGCACCTCCTCCAGGCCTGCTGCTGGGGTTGCATTCCATTTGCCCACCTTCATTTTCCTGTACGGATCACCTGTCTCTGGTTAGATGCAGCATCTCAGGCATCTCACAGGGCACCTCTCGGGCGAGCTGAGGGAGCAGTGGTTGTTGACTGGTTCAGGGGTCCTGAGGAGCATTTCTTCATCTACAGCCACTTAGGCCCATTGGGTCCTTGTGGGGAGGGGACAGGCACACCCCAGGGGCAGGGACCCTGGCGTCACAACAGCCCTGTGCCTTGAAGGGCCAGCCGGCATCACTCAGCACTAGGATGCCCTCCACTGTTCCCAAAGGCCAAGCACTTGATCCAGGGCCCCTCGGAAGTGGACTGGGCATCACCTGTGTGGTTACCCACTGGACCTTCTGGGGCGAAGCTGCCCGTCAGGCTGGGAGACTCAACCTGGCTCACCTGGACTCTACACAGCATGGCTCCACAGTCAGGGTCACGTTTCCATGGCCAGGCTCTTTGGGAATCAGGAACAGGATTTCTCGGTCACCTGGGTGGCAGCCACTCATGTGCAAGCAAATTCATGGGGTTTTCCTTTCAGCATATCAGGGTAATTTAAAAGGTGTTAGTTAAATATTACTTGATTTCACTGAAATCCAAATTTGCTCTTTCTAACCAATCGGTCTGAGTGCCCACCTACCTCTTTTTGTCTTCCAGTGTCACCGTACCAAGGACTCACATGAAAATACACATCAAACCACAAAGCCTTTCCTTTTTCTCTCCCAGCTGGGATATGGCATTGATTTCTTCAGGATTCTGTGCAAGGCAGAAGGTGCTGTGCTGGTGGATTTCACACAGGGGTTGCTCAAACACTTGCTCTGCAGGGCCTCGCCTGATCCCGGGCACTCTGGGGCCAAGGCTCTTGTTCCCCACTCGAGTTCTTGCAGGGCCCTGAAACAGAAACCAGGATTCCTCTGGATGCTACGTACTCTCCCCATACAACCTGTGATGGTTTCATTTGTGAGTGGCCACACTGCACTGAGGGTGAGATCAAATGTACATTAGCCTCTTTAGCTGCCACATCAGCCACATTGTTTCCCCTGGCAATGGGATCATTCCCTTTTTGGTGGGCCTTGCAATGTATTATGGCCACTTTCTCAGGTAGCCAAATTGCTGCCAGCAGGTCTAGTATTTGGGGGTATTTTTTATTTTATCTCCTGCTGAGGTCAATAGTCCTCTTTCCTGACAAACTGCCCCATGTACATGAAGTGTAGCAAAAGCATATCTGCTATCAGTAGACATGTTAATCTACTTAACTTCAGCCAGCTTTAGGGCTTCTGTCAAGGCGCTGAGTTCAGCTCACTGAGCAGAAGTGCCAGAGTCCAGCCCCTTTGCCCACAAAATCTGGGTCTTGGAGGTCACTTCTGCCCCTGCAACTCATTTACCTTGGTGCATGTAGCTGCTTCTGTCCGAGAAGAGTAATGATACACCCTCTAAAGGTTGGTCAGTCAGGTCGGGTCCGAGGCTTTGGTAGCTGTTGATCAAGGTGGCGCATTCATGATGCAGGGCTGAAGGATCCTCATCGGGCAACAGTGTGGCTGGTTTCAGGGCTACCAAGGACTTGAAGGCAATAGAGTCAGGATCTAAAAGTAATGCTTGGTAGTGCATTTGACAACCTTGCATTTGTCAGCCATCAGTCAGGAGGTCAGATAAGAGTCTCAAGTGAGTGAGAGGTTACCACAGTGATCTTCTGGCCAAAGGTAAGCTTCTTAGCTTCCTTTATCAGCATAGCCATGGCAGCTATGATCCTCAAGCATGGTGGCCAACTAGCAGCCACTGCATCCAACCTTTTGGAGAAATAAGCTCTTGGTCTCTGCCAGGGTTCCAGTTCCTGAGTTATTACTCCTTTTGCAATTCCTCTCAGTTCATCCACACACAGGAAAAATGGCTTATATATGATATGGAGTCCCAGTGTGGGGACATTTCTTAAGGCCTGCCTCAATTGTTGGAAGGCTATCTCTTGCATTTCTGTCCATTCTAGTGGGCCTTGTGTTTGCCCCTTTAAAGAGTCATATAGCAGCTGGGCTATCTCAGCAAAGTTTAATATCCAGAGCCTACAATATCCCACTGCACCACGAAACTCCCAGACTTGCTTCTTGGTCTTTGTTACTGGTGTTTGTAGGATAGCTCGAACCCTTTTATTGAAAGGGTCCTCTTTCTACCTTGCAATTGACAGCCCAGGTAGGTCACTGTCTGCTGGCATATTTGAGCCTTTCTTGATGATACCTTATATCCCAAATCATGTAAAGTCACTAACAGGGCCCTGGTGGCTTCTTTGCAATCCTAAAAGGTTTTGGTGGCCATTAACAGGCCATCAACATATTGCAAAAGTATGACCTCTGGATGATCTTCTCGATACCCCATCAGGTCCCTAGCTAAGGCCTCATCAAATAATGTGGGAACATTTTTAAAACTTTGTGGTAAACGAGTCCAAGTCAATTGTCCAGTTATCCCAATCCCTGGATCAGTCCATTAAAAAAAATGGGTTGACATCCAGGGCCACCGGGAGGGTGAAGAAAGCATCTTTCAAGTCCAGGACAGAATACAAGATGTGATCTGGGCTCAGAAGACTCAGCAAAGTGTAGGGATGAGGGACAGTAGGATGCAGGGTGACCACTCACCTGTTGACTTCCTGGAGATCTTGCACTGGCCGGTAATCTTGGGTCCAACAACTTACAGACTGGGAGCAATGGTGTATTCCAGGGAGAGATGCAAGGTACAAGAATCTTATTATCCTTTAAACTAGCAATATGTTTTGCAATTCCTTGGCGGGTCTGTAAACTTATTGGATACTGTCTATGGCAGATGGCAGATACCTGGGTAACAACTCTATTACCAGAGGAACTTGGTTTACCGCCAGACCGGGAGACTTATTTTCAGCCCAGACTCCGATATCTCCCTTTGCCACCCCTGTAGGACATTTCTGTCAGTCTCTGGAGTGGGATCATCTCCCAGTGGGAGATGATTTTCCCCTTCAGGAAGGAAGGCAAGTACCTTCATTTGTTCCCCAGGTGTTGTTCCCAGAGTCAGTTGTGGTGTCTCCGCCTGAAAACTCAATTGGACCTTTACCTTATGAAGGAGGTCTCTTCCTAGCAGTGGATCAAGGCATTCCGGAACCCATAGAAATTCATGCATAGTGGTCTTTTGCCCAGGGCGAGTTAACTGGACCACCACCTTCGGGTATGATTTTCACCCTCTGGTGGCGCCGACCATGTTTACTTTGTTATCAGTCAGAGTTCCCAACAGTTGAGTTAGAATAGAATAGTTGCGCCCCTGTCCACCAAGAAATTTACTGGTTTCCCCCCACTTGCAGAGTTATCCAGGGCTTGGGGGGGGCACCTGAGCCCTGACACCCTCCTTGTTGTTTCAATAAGGTCTTCGCATCTCTCTCCATTTTGGCCTTTAATTTGGGGCAGTCCTTTCACCACTGCCTCATTTCTGTACAATAGGCACATTGAGTTTTCTCAAGCGGGGGGCGCTTTTTCTCCTTGTCTTCTGACTTCCCTTTTTGTTTCTGCTTGTTTCTTTTTTGCATAACAGTTCCAGCACCTTAGTGACTTTTTTATGATTTACCTCTTGCCAGTTCTCTCTGTTGTCAAATACACTATGTGCTAACTCTACCAAGTGACTTAGGGGAATTCCCTCAAGCCCCTCCAGTTTCTTTAATTTCCTTCTAATGTCTGGGGCTGACTGAATGGTATAGCCTTTGCCTTGTCACAGGCAACCGGACGCAGCCTTTTGGGGCCAAAATGAAAGACTTCGAGTCTTACAGCTAAGGAGCAGGGTTTTTGTCTCATGAAACCGCAATATCTGTCAGTTTTACAATGTGGGGGGTATCACCGGCCCGTTACAGACCAGGAACATGTTGATTACATTCCTCAAAAAGAAGCAGGGTTCAAGCAACGCTTAGGTCAACAACCAAGCCAACACTTGGTAAACATTCTCCCAGGAACTACATGTTGCATGGTTCTCAGGATTATCTAGAAACTTCTTTGGCTCCAGTGGAATTTTTATGAGTCTAGAGGTTTTTACAACTTTCAACACCAACCAACCAAACAATCAAAAATGAAAAACAAAAGAAGAACAAAATAGCCAGGTATGCTAGTGCATGCCTCTCATCTCAGCACTCAGGAAGCCGAGGCCTCCAACCCTGAGTTGGAGGACAGCCTGGGCTACAGAATGAGTTCAAGATCAGCCTGAATTAGCGAGACCCTGTCACAAATCACTAAGAAAACTGATATCCTCAGAGATTCCCTGCGGATCTTAATATCCTTGAAGGGTGCCACAGCATCCCTCTGATTAGAAAACCATAAGTAGCTGGACATGGTGGCACATAAGCATAATCCTAGGATTCTGGAGGCTGAGGAAGGAGGATCATAAATTTGAGCACAGCTTGGGCACTCAGTGAGAGTGTTTTAAAATTAAAAACAACAAACACAATACCAAACAGGACTTGGGATGTAGCTCAGTGCAAAGGCCCTCGGTTCATCCGGTACTACACACGTGAACAGGTACGCATGCACAGAGACACACAGCCAGGCAGGAAAAAACAGAGATACAGAGACAGAGAGAGACAGAGAAACATATTTGTTAAATATTAAAATACTTAGCAAAGGAAAACTGGGAAAGTATTTTAATTCATGGAGTAACTCTACTGCCTCAAGCAGGATGCCACTGATCATTCTCCTTTATGAGCAAACACACAGCACCCTTATAACTAAGTATCTCAAATATTCATAAACCAAAGTTAGTAGGATATTGGAAGAATAACAGATGCGGTGGACCACCTCTGTAATCCCAGCACTCTCGGTGGCTGGGCCAGCAAGCCTATCGAGTTCACACCCGGAACACAGAACGCAGCCACCTAGCGAGAACTCATTTCAAACTAAGAAATAAAAATAAAAAAGGGCTGTAAGCAACTCATCACAAATGCCCTGGGTTCAAGCCCCACTACCACAAGACAAACAAAAAGAGACACAATGACACAAAGAGGTTTTATATCAGATCCGCAGGACCAAAGTACATAAAGCATATGAAAAACAAACCATTTCATAAAGATGGAAAAAGGATCGATCACTCCATGAGGATGCCTAAATTAGCTCTACAGTAGGAAAAAGGAAAAAACGCTTCCTAAGTATGTGCCTGTGCACCCATAGACCTTGCTCAGGTTAAATCATCCTGGTTTTCTTAAAATCAGATAACGTATTCAGATGTAAATCTAAGTCACGTGCAGAAAAATACAAATGAAAAAATTATGTTTGATAGGACTCTCTGAGCATGTTACCCAAGTCAGAATTAAACACAAAATTTGACTAGGTCGTATTCAGAAATCTTCCCAAAGCAGAAAACCTCATAAAGTAAAGTTCTGGCAAAGTGGAAATATACTTGTAATGCACAGATTTGGCTGCAGCCTGTATAACCGAATATATATATAAGGCACCAGTAGGGCTAAGACTATGATTTTGTTTAGTTTCATTTTGTATTTGTTTTGTTGAGGCAGGATGTCCTGTTGCCCAGGCTACCCTCCAACTCCTCAGCTCAAGGTGCCCTCTTCCTTTGGTCTCCAAAGTAGTTGGGACTCCAGACCCACAACCATGCCTAGCTCAGCACGTGGATTTTTTTTTTTTTTTTTTTTTGGTCTTCTTCTTTGTTTGAGGGTCTCACTATGTGGTTCAGGCTGCCCTTGAGCTCACTTTGTAGACGAGGCTGGTCTCAAACTTGCAAGGATCCTCCTGTCTGAGCTTCCTGAAGGCTGGGATTATAGGCATGAATGGCCATGCCTGGCAAACATGGATTTTGATGTTACAAGGAACTGAGAAGAACACCTGGTCTACAGTAAGCGTAAGACACGTCATCTGGCGTTTGTGATGCTTAAAACAACATAGACCTATGGTGAATAAGTATTCAAAAGAAGCCCAAATGAAAAGTAGTTGAAAAGCTGGGCGAGATGATGCACGTCTACAATTCCAGCTACTTAGGAAGTCGAGACCAGAGGATCAAGAATTTGAGGCCAGCTTGGGAAAC